GGATGAAATTCGTGCCAACGTGTTGAGCATTTAATACTCAATGAGTGACACAAATTTTTTCCCTTAGGGCCAGTGAGGGAGGGAGGAGTGAATTTTTTAAAGTGCGAAGAGATGGGAAAAAAAATGCAATTAAAAAATTCATTCCTCCCATCCTAACTGCGACTAAGGGATGAAATTTATGCCAATGTGTTGAGCATTTAATGCACAATGAGTGACACAAATTTCATCCCTCAGCACCTGTTAGGGAGGGAGGAGTGAATTTTTGAAAGAGCGAAGAGATTGAAAAAAAATTTTTTTTTTAAATGAATTCTCCAAAGTGCGGAGATTGAAAAAAAATTTTTTTTTTCAATTCAAAAATTCATTCCTCCGACCCTAACTGCGACTAAGGGATGAAATTTGTGCCAACGTGTTGAGCATTTAATACTCAATAAGTGACACAAATTTCATCCCTTAGCACCTGTTAGGGAGGGAGGAGTGAATTTTTGAAAGAGCGAAGAGATTGAAAAAAAATTTTTTTTTCAAATGAATTCGCCAAAGTGCGGAGATTGAAAAAAAATTTTTTTTTTCAATTCCAAAATTTATTCCTCCGATCCTAACTGCGACAAAGGGATAAAATTTGTGCCCAAGTGTTGAGCATTTAATACTCAATAAGGGACAAATTTTATCCCTTAGGGCCAGTTAGGGAGGGAGGAGTGAATTTTTGAAAGAGCGAAGAGATTGAAAAAAAAAAAATTTCAATCTCCGCACTTTGGAGAATTCATTTGAAAAAAAAATTTTTTTTCAAAAGAATTCTCCAAAGTGCGGAGATTGAAAAGATTTTTTTTTTTCAATTCAAAAATTCATTCCTCCCACCCTAACTGCGACTAAGGGATGAAATTTGTGCCAACGTGTTGAGCATTTAATACACAATGAGTGACACAAATGTTATCCCTCAGCACCTATTAGGGAGGGAGGAGTGAATTTACGAAAGAGCGAAGCGATTGAAAAAAAAATTTTTTTTCAAATGAATTCTCCAAAGTGCGGAGATTGAAAAAAAATTGTTCTTTTCCATTCAAAAATTCATTCGTCCGACCCTAACTGCGATTAAGGGATGAAATTTATGCCAACGTGTTGAGCATATAATACTCAATGAGTGACACAAATTTCATCCCTTAGCGCCTAATAGGGAGGGAGGAGTGAATTTTTGAAAGAGCGAAGCGATTGAAAAAAAAAATTTTTTTTCAAATGAATTCTCCAAAGTGCGGAGATTGAAAAAAAAATGTTCTTTTCCATTCAAAAATTCATTCGTCCGACCCTAACTGCGATTAAGGGATGAAATTTATGCCAACGTGTTGAGCAT